TGTTGAGAACTGCCAGGATCGTGACGCGGCTTGCTCCCAAATATTCAATATTGCTAACAATGATGTATACGCGCAAAATCTTATGCCGTAATTTTCTGAGCTTTTCGATTTTATTTTCACTACAGTATGATTAAGTAATAATCATGAATCCATATATGTTGTTAATTATGAATAGGAAAATTGGTGGGAAGACAGTTTGTTGAATTTTGTTGGTTATCGAAGGCAAGAAAAATTGATTGGAACTTAAAATTATTTGATAATTTATCGAAATTTTTGCCGAATTTTTCCTAGGCTTAAAAAAATTCCCAATGTCTTGCAGCAACATGGATTATAAAGTTGCTGAAAATTGTCAGAAACCTGAATATGGAATGTTAGCTCGGCAAATATGCCCACGAACATGTGCGACATGTTGCTTAACTCGGGAATATAACTGCCAAAATGGTAAGAAACAAGCAGTTCTTAGAATTCAAATCTAATAAAACAATAAGAAGCATGCCTGACGCATTCTTCTGCGTATTATTTACTGCTTTTCGCAAATTGCTTTTGTAAACCATTTTGTTCAAAATTCACAGAAAAGGTAAAAACTTTTGAAAAATTGGCAAGTATTTAAAAAAAAAGATGCCAAGCATCTTTGTCAGATAGAATTCGTATTATCCTTAAAAATTAAAATATATTACCGTGAAAAAACTGAAATGTTAATGGAGTAGAAAAGTGAAAAAGGAAAAAAGAATTTCCTCAAATTCTAAACCTGAAGATTAATACACGGCCGGAAATTAAAATTTACCAATTTCAGTTGGAGGTGAGGACGGTCCATGTAGAAGTTTTTCAAGGTTAATGTGTGGTCAATTCCCAAATATTGCGTTACAGTTTTGTCCACAAATTTGCGGCCTTTGTCACTTACCTGGTGCCGCAAACATGTGTCCTGACACTATCGATGGTTGCGATATTTTGGTGGGATTGGGCATTTGTACTGACAATCGATACAAGAATTTGTGCCAGAGATCGTTCTCACGAGATTGTCTTACAAATCAAACAAGTGAGTTGCTGATTGCTATTGAAGATTAATAGGATACATATAATCCTATAAAAATCATATAAAAACGGTTAATAAGCAGTTTTATTTATAGCTGTATCGCGGGACATTATTTTCATTGCATAACAGTGAAATGAAATGAGACATAATGCCAAGTTTATTCTATGATTAGATAAAGTTGATAGAAAACTTCAGTATAATTGCCAACTGATTAATAATATGAGAGAATTGATGGTACCACTAAAAATTTTTGTGACTCATGAATGCATTCATATTAAGAAAATAAAAAGAGCAAACAAATTGTATAATTCGCGTAAAGGTACAAACTTCAGTTGATTTTTAAGAAATGAAGGTCAGAATCGTTTTTGCACAGAGCCACCATATATTCTCAAATGGTTATAGAAAGAATGGCCATGCAAATGAAATGAATAGGGCTATGAAAATAGGTTATAAGAAATGAAAAATGATAAACATTATTTAAAATATCGTAATTAGTGATGGAATTTCGATAGTCTTAATAAAACAAATACAAATACAAATAAATGCAATAATTCTTCAAAGTGAAAAGTGAAAGCAAAAGGTTTAAATTTCTAACGAAAATGAATTACAATTTAGGTTTTTGTTCCTAAAGTGGAATACGGAAAATCTTGTGAGGAGGAGTTTACATGAAACCATAAATGCACGCTGGAACTTTTTAAAGGACTCTCAATAAAAAATTGATAGAATGGCTCAATGGGTTGTTGCTCAATTGGGAACGTCGATGCGGAGGTATTATTCCCTGCAGGAGTAAACCTGTCCAAAAATCCGTGTGGTGCTGGTGACTTATCTGTATTTCTATCACCAAGGGACTCTGGTTACCCAACGCGACGAGTCAGTGGTGCGAATTTAACCAGTAATGATTACGGCTCCTAAAAAATAAAAAATAATTTTATAGGTTTTCATATTTTAACTGAAAATAAAAAAAGTTAATCATTGTTGCGATTGTTAAGGTGCGATTTCTTTCTTCCTTTTGCGAATTTCCACCATTTATCATTTTATCAATTATCATTCATAGTTTTATTCGGTAAGTAATAGAGTTATTAAAGATTATTAGAGATCGTTATTGCTTTACTTATGCATAATTATTTCTACTTCAATTATTTTGAACCGATGCACTAATTGAATGTAATAATTCATGCAAATAAGGATAGAGAATTTTTAGCTGAAAGCAAATTGATACACTTCATCGGAAATGGCTGCGTGAAATATAAAGGCATTTGTTTGAATTTATGACGTTGATTCATATGGTTAAATTGCGATTGCATAGCCATAGCCATTTAAAGAGGTAAAGCAAAGAGGTAAAACACAAATTAAAATAATCAAATAAAAGAAAAATTTCTTAAAAAACTAATTGTTTGTTTGCAAAAAAGAACGAAGTAATGTAATTTCATTCAATTCCTCATTTTTTCTTTTATTTTAAGATTATTATTCCTCTTATTATTCCTCACCATTACTGGTTAAACTCGCTCTACTGGTTTGTCGCACTGAATAAATATGCCAGAGAGTCCCTTAGCGATAGAAATACATGCAAGCCGCCAGCATCACATGGATTTTTGGACAGGTTTATTCCTGCGAGAAATAGAACCAAAGTATTGGTTCTCCGAATTGAGCAATAACCAATTAAGCCATCCTATCCCTATAAAGATTTGATTTTGAATTTGAATTTACGGAATGTTCTGATAAAAAATTTTCTGATATTTCCGAGGCTGACATGATAGCCTTTAACATCCACAAGAGGGTGAGAAAGGGTTTTTCTTTTGATTAGCACCATAATGCAGCACTCATTTCATTTTCATTGGTCACCTGCAAATTTGCTTGACCACAGCATATTTTTTCGCTAAAAGAATTACCTATCACAGTGGTCACCAAACTATTTTAAGGAATATTTATAAAAAATATTTGCTAAAAAAATTCAGTGTTCGGCAAGATGATATTGTTAAGATGATAAAAAATTCAGTGTTCGGCAAGATGATAGCAAAAATTTTGTTTTAATTCCTTTGAAATCAATTCTTTTGATGAGAACCTTTCATAACAGATGAAAGATTATAGTAGATTTTCACGCAAGTTATCCACGTTAAAATTTTTCGCAACAATAAACATCATAAGTTATAACTTAAAAAACATGAAATATTTATTAATTATTATATCACCATATTATTGTATAACCAGGCAAAGCAAGGTTCTTCATGGATTGCTATATATACAGATAGCTGCGGTAGACATTGCGAAATGCGACTAGTGGTTTGAGAAAGCCGGACTAAAAGGCAATACTGAGGCATTGATTATAGCAGCATAAAACAAACACATCGTCAGATTCATCGAAGCAGGGACCTACCATACAAGATTACAGGACTCTAAATGCTCAAAAATGCCCCATGAATAATCTAAAATATAGTGGCAGGCAAGATATAATCAAGAACAACATAACCAATTAGCTGGCATCACCTATAGGAACATCTGCCGATATATGGGATAGATCGTCCCAAGACTAAATAAGGGATTCCTCAGAAAATCGTGGAGAATAATAAGACGAAGATCCTGTCTTCTGCATCCAGACAGGCAAAAAAGTAACCAGATGTAGATAATAGACAAGAATCAGAATTTACTACTGGTGACTGTGAATGCCATACGACAGGAAGCAAGGATATGAGAAATTAGAGAAATATGAGAAATTAGCAAAGGCTGAAAGAGGGAGAGGGACTAGAAAAAATGTGGAAATTAAAGACCAAAGTAACCCCAGTGATGACAAATGGAACTGTAACCCTCAAAACTACAAAAGTAGATTTCCGGCACTACATCAGAGATGCCCAGAACAATGCACTAGGAGTAGCTGAGACATTGCGCAGAGCCCCAATCTCCCAAGCCTCTAGCCGAGGTTTCGAGGTTGAGGGTGCAAGTAATTACCCACAGGATAGTGAGTTTTTTCCACACTATTATAAATAAATATTATTGTAATTATTATATAATTAATTATTATAATAAATTTTTGATTACTATTGATTATTATTATATATAACATAATTTATCAAATATGTTTAAAAAATGATAAATAATTATAAATCTAAAATCACCTGAAATTTTCGAATTTTTATCCTTAAAATAAAACTATTTGCGCTTTTTATCAATGAAATAAAATTTCAGCAAATAAACCCCATAAATCCATTCGACAGTTCTTATAAGTTGCTGAAAAAATTTGCCCTCTAATTGGAAACAACCGAACTATTCCTTTCATTGGAACGAATTCTCAATAACCAATTTTTAGAAGTGAAAACTCGTTTCCTTCGAAATTAGTGAGGTTAAACGAAATTTCTTAATCAAATATTTCAAATAATTGATCAAATACAAATATTTTTTTGAATTGAAAAACTCATATAGAATTAAAATTTTGTGCTAATAACAAATTTATGTAATTGCGAACTTTAAGTAGAAAAACGAATTTCACAATGCTTTTTTGAATTAAATTATCTAAAATTAAAAATTACAGCGAATAATTTATTCAAACCGAAAAACAACTAAATACTCTCCAATTTCAAGACGAAATATTAGTGCGAGGAAATTGATCACTCCTTTCAAAATCTATTACAATAGATAAAAATTTGAAATAAAGAAAAGAATAATTCCTATAAATTATAAATTATAAAATTATTATTATTATTAAAACTATTAAATTAACACTTTTGAAATTTTTTATCACTTAAAAAATGGAAAATTCGATTTAATATTTAACTAATATTCAAATATGATTGCGTTACAATCGATTTGAATTAAATTTGCTTCAAAAATATTTCAAAAAGCATATTTGAACAACTGACGATTTCAGGTGAAAGAGGAATGATAGTGCTTATCGCTTTTTTTGATTTATACGCAAAATAAATAATAATTAATTATAAAAGCCGAATATATACGAAGGAAACAAATTATTTGATCGATGGTCATGCTCACTTTTTTCCTCCTTCTTTCGTCGTTATCCAATCATGCCAATGGAGGTGCTGTCGAGATAGACGTTTGTCATATGCTTGTTCCTGTACCTCAACAAGGTGCGGGACCAGGCGTGGGTGTAGGTCCAGGTGCAGCTGCACAGCCAGGAAGTGTTCGAAGGCCTACAGTACCTGTTGAAAGCTGCCAAGATCGTGACGCGCCAGCTTGTTCCGAAATATTCAAATATGAAGCTGGGGAAATACGCGTACTCGCAGATAATCTTTTACCGTAAGTTTCTTTTAGGCGTTATTTTCATTTCGTTATAAACATACTATTATAATGATAAAACAGCACGCGATCATGCAATGAATCAATCAATTCCATCAATAGGGCTATCAATAAGAAAGTAGTTGAATTTTAACGATTGCCGATGGTTAAGCAAAAATTTTTAAAAATGTTTCTCGAAATTTTTCTGGATTTAATACCTTTTTCTTTTTCGGCTCAAAAATTCACAACAAATTTAATTCGAAAATTCTATGAAAATTTAAAAAATACAAATTGCATTTTAATTTAACTCTTTAAGAGAATAAGAAAAGGAATACTGTCTTGCAGCAACATGCATTATAAAGTTCCAGCAAACTGTCAGGTGGCTGCATATAGGATGTTAGCTCGACAAATGTGTCCACGAACGTGCGCGACATGTTGCTTAACTAAAGAATATAACTGTGATAATGGTAAGAGCTAAGATATTCTTACTGGGAATTCACAATAAACATGGCTAATAGAATAAGAACTGCTTGGCTTTCCCAACGTCTTATATGCGTTACATATTGTTTCGAAAATTGACTTTAGCCATACAGTGAATTATTTTAAATCGAAATGATGAAAAAAGATTGAAAAAAATTCGAAAAATTTCAAAAAAAATTCTGCAAACGCCGTATTCAGCTAGGGCCATATACACCTTCCGCATAGAAATTTTCTTAAATTTTCTCATTAAATTCAATTTTCCCATAGGAAATTTAAAGTGCCACGGATAAAATTAGATTGATAAAAATATTGAAGAAGGAGGAATGAAAGCTATTTTATAGGAAAATTCATTAAATACTTTGTGCATGAAAATTAAAACTTATATATTTCAGTTGGAGGTCGCGATGGTCCATGCAGGAATTTTTCAAGGACACTATGCACTCAATTCCCAAGCCTTGCTTTGCAACATTGTCCGCAGTCTTGCGGCCTTTGTCATTTACCTGGTGCTGCGAACATGTGCCCTGATACTATCGATGGTTGTGATATTTTGATGGGATTGGGTATTTGCTTTGACAATAGATTGAAGAATATGTGCCAAAGAACGTGCAGGTCACGGGACTGTCTAACAAGTAATTTCGGACCATTTTTTTAAAAACAAATGAATTAGAAGTGCAGAATTCCATTAAGAATGAAAACCTAAACATTTCCATGTATTTCAGCGACGACTTTGTCTCCACCAGCAGCAGCTTGTCGAGACGAAAGGCAGAACTGTGCCGCAATTAGAGCCACAAATAGCTGCGGCGGTTTATATCAAACAACAATGAGGCAACAGTGCGCAAGAACTTGCGGTTATTGCACGTAATCCGTGCAATTTATATAT